AGTATTTCTTGATTTTTACATTTTACCCCATACCTATTTAATTAGGAAAGGAAGAGCTGTAGCTGTAACAGATATGTGAATAAGATCTTTACTAGAGGTTCATTTTTCATGTGTCACATTGATGTCGAAATTTCAAGTACATGCCTAGACTGTTTCATTACACTTTCTTCCTCTGCATGCTTAGCTTCAGCTGCTGCCCTCCAGCCACAAAACTACATGACATACAGTGCCTCGTGGCATCAGATGGTTCATGGGCAGTTCAACCAAATCAGGTGACATCATGTAAAATGTCAAAGCTGTCAATGTGAATGAGATGAACCTCAAAGACCAGGAAAATTCACAAAAATATTTCCTAGTGCTTGAGCTCTTTAAAACACATAAATTCATGTTGCTTCTAACTGAAACTACTTCCAGACCTGTGAGTACAACCACATTACAGAAGAGGGTTTTGATTTCTCTGCATCTGTTCATTTGCCAACAAGTGCAAAGACAAAAATTACATTTTTTTCCTGACTTTCTGAAAATGATAATGGCATCATTCTTACAGCAGGAAACAAACACTCTACCACCAGAATGCTAATCTGAGGCCTGGCTGTTCCTTTATTGGATTTGTGTGGGGTTTTTCCTAATGACTGGAAGTGAAGATTAAAGACGGATAAACAGGATGAAATTCCTTAAATGTCACCGAGACCAGTTGGTCTTCTAAATATGACAGGCTGTCCGTAGGAGTCATGTGTCTCTTCTAGCTTTTTATAAATCATATGGCAATTTCACGTCATGTCATTTTCACGTCATGTGACACATTTTATTAAGAGGGAACTAGATGTGCAGCAAATGAACATGAGGGGTTTAAGTGTCTTAGCTAGACCCTGTGGCTGTTAGATGTGGACAAAGATGTCAGATATAGGTGTCTCATTGCTTTGAGCGTTGCCGTCACAAAAGTTATAGCTTCAAATTCAGTCAAATGAGCCAAGGTTCTGTCCCAGTTCTTTAATTTGCAGAGCTTTCATGAAGGACGATCTTTGTTTTAATTAAAGCCTTTTAGCATCCTAAGTTTTGAGGCTGAATGGTGCTGTCTCACTCCCCTTTGTCCTCGCTTCTTCAGAGGGGGCGAAAAAAAGGGTGACTATTCATTCTGGATCTGCACCTGTTGAGTGGAGCATGCGTCTTTCCCATTTTACATCTTGAATTTACAGCTCTCAGCTGGAGGGCTAACCTTTCACTCAGCATCTATGGGAGAGTCGCAGCAGCTGTGATGACTTCACTGGCTCCTTGTGTAAAAGGCATCGAGCAGAGGAGGATCTCTGCACCTCGAACCTGATAGCAGCCTGATTTGACACTGTGCTGCCATTAGCGGTTAGTTCCTATCCGATTGAAGTGAATTTCAAAGAAATAAAAAGGTGTATTCACATTTCCTGGTGGTTGTGCCGTGGGCTCATTTGCATCCATTCATATGGCTCAAAGAGAGGCAGGATGAGACCACTAAAATATCCTCAGATTTTCATATGTGTGGTCCCTGGCAACAGAAAATGGACTTTTTATGAGGCTAGCAGCTGTGTGGAGAGAAACATTAGCAACACTGATTCATTACAAAGAGTAGCTGATGACTCGGAGCCAATTTATTTCTGGCTTTGGCAGTAAAAGAAGTATGTAGCACACTTCCACTGGATAACGGCAGCTCAGTATGAGGAGAAATCTCTGCTTTGTAACTGGGTGATTTCAGGAATTGCCCCATTACTGAGCAGCTTCTCTTGCCTGCCGGCTTTCCTCTGGAACAGCTTTCGGTCAGTGTAAATCTCTGAAATGCAGATTGCTAATGAGCTTGGAGGCCTGGCCCTGAACTCAGCACATCACATGGTGCTACTGTAAGTAGATCCCTGCTGCATCTGCAGACAGCTTCGGATGTTTGAATATTACATACATCACATAATTCTCTAAATAAGTGCACTCATCTGCTTTACCCTAAGTGCGTGACGAAGCATTATCGCAGGTCCTTCCTTCCTACTGCTGTCAGGCTGGACAACCAGCATTGCTCCCAGTAGACCCATGAGCAATTATATGTGAATATTAGCTTTACTTTTTATTATGATATTTTATATTGGTAATATCTTGTCTGTTACCTTTTTTGCTTTTTTCTTGTCTGTGCCTTGTTTCTATCCCCTATCATTTGCAGCTTGAATTGTCCTTTTTCTTTTTTAACCATTTAAAATTGGTATCTTATTCCACCATAAAGCTACATGGAGTGCACTAATCTGCTCAGCTGCTCTCTCCCTCTCTTACACACACACTGACAACAGACTCTCTGAACAGCTCCTCCTCTGTCTTTAATACAACACTGTCGATCGCAGAGAGCCAACATTCCTAGTGAGTTACTAGAAAGCTACAGATAGTTAAACTAACATTAGAATACAGGTGTTGCTGAGGGTAGTATGCTGTATATAGCATATATTTATATGGACTGATTTGCAAGTGGATTAAGTTTCTACTAATTTTTAATCTCTGACAGTGAATATTTGCTCCCTCAGTCCAGGGGGAAACTGAAAAACACATGGGAAAGCTGAACATTTGCAACAGGTTAGATGAACAGCATAACAGTGGTTAGCACAAAGGCACTGTAGTGTTACTGTATTTAATAAATTGAAAAAAAAATTTTGAAAGCGCATCCTCCCCGTCAGCTACCGCCACAAGTAGCATCTAACTCTGTGGGAAACACTGCTCCAGGATTGTCTCTAGCAACTACTGTCCTTGTATTTGTCAGAGCCGGTCAAGAGGTTTTCCACTAATGAGCTTGTTGTTGATGAAAGATGGGTGACAGATCATTGTCGGAGCGGCCGGGCCAGCTGCTGCTATCATCGGCACTGTTGCACATTCCTCCTGGGTCATGTTACAGTGGAGTCGGGAAGCAGCTGGAATTCGAGTTTAGCAACTTCTCGCTCAAAGGAGCTGACGTTGCTTTTATTCAACTGTCCTACAGATCCTCCATGACCCATTACACAAAGAAGTGGATTCACTGGTGTGGCCACTTTTCCATAAAAGTCACAACAGCAATCTAACTATCCCGTGTCTGCAAAAGCCCTGGGGGTATCAGGACATTATGGTTTCTGTGGACTGCAGCCAACCAGCCTGACCTACTGTAGATGAGACCATCGCCTCAAGCGCTGTTGTTATCAAGTGACTGAACACCCGATGAAAGGGAAGATGTAATGCCCATCGAACCAAAGTCATGGTGGGAAATGTCACACAACCTCTCCTTCATACCTCAGTGTTTTAGCAGTAGTTAGTTTGCTTGCAGTTATCATGTGGTGGACAAATGAAAGTGCAATGCAACATCTGGTATCACATTGCAGCGCCTGCTTGTCCATGTTGCACCTGTAAAAGGTACATGTGACTGGGCACCGATGAGTGCTCATTTTAGGCAGGCTGTGCTTACTCAGATTCCATCCATCCATAAATATAGTGAGATCACGTGAGGAGGCAGCAGGGCACGGTGCCAGTTGGGTCGTTGGTTACTACCTCACCCTCATTCCTTTTAATACTGTGTCAGCCCCATGGAAATACATGGTGTCCCTGCTTTTACAGCTGCTCGGCTGTCAACCTCTGTTTAAACCATATCATGCCATCACTGGCCTTATGCAAAAGGGACTGTGATGGGGGCAGCGGTAGAGATCTTCTGCTGTTTAACAGCTTCATCTGTACTGATCATTTTCAGTGGAACGTTACACATTAAGGCTGGTTTACTCAGCATTACTGAGCTTGTCATGAGTTTATAACACTGTACTAAACCTAACAGAAAGTGTGTCTTACAAGCTAGATGAAGTGGGCAGCTTGATCACAGGTGTGGCGTTTAATGTAAATTGTTATTGAGTTGCATTATGGGAAAAGGAGGAAATTACATTCTAATTTTGGCTGTAATGCTTCGGTTTTGATCACTTCTTTTAATCTCTCACAAGTTACCCATAGTTACTGTAACTACTATACATACATTTACTTAAGTGCAATTTTGAAGTATTTGTACAAATACTTCCATTCTATGATCATTTATATTTATAAGCCACATTTAACTCAAGATTTATCTGACAGCTATAGTTACTACTTCCACTTGAGATTAAGATTTTATAAATAAAGCACTTGCTCAGTTTAGAAAATATAATAAACTACTCAGCAGTATATGAAGCACTTAAATGCTGCTTACTTATACATGCAGGTGAAACTGGAGCCGCTTTAAATATATGTTGCTGCTGATTATTGTGTATTTTTTGATTTTGAATGGACCTCTACTCATAGTGGCATATTTATTTATTAATTACTTATTTAGATACTTTTACCCAAGTAAAAGATCTCAGTGCTTCTCCTGCCACTAGGGATCTTAGGTTTATGTCGCCATGGAACCAAAATTTGACTTGAATTTTGTTTAAAAAAAAAATTAAAAAAAGACAGTCATTACTGAAATTAACAAACAACTAAGTTATTTTCTCACAAGCCCTATTCAGAAAGTTTTTCCAGTATTAAAAAGTTATGATAAAACTGGGAAGTAATGCAAATGAGCTGCTGTTTTTCCACCAAAGTCCCTCAACAACTGCTTCAAGTCTGATTTTCACACAGGAGTATTTACTTTTTATAGCAAGGTGATGTCCTCAAGTGTTTTCATTTTAACAACCTACTCAAATGTGAGGTGAATCAACAGATTTGTCATTTAACACATTCTGCATTCAGGCATTCCCTCACTGCTATAAATGTAATGGACAAAATAACAACAACACCCATCTGTATAATGTGGTAGAGATAAACACCTGTTTATCCCCCCCGCCCCGAAAGATTATTATTTTTCCTCGTTATCTGATTTTCACAGCAAATTTATGACTAATACACTCCCAACTCATAATGAAAGGAGTGCCTCATTAACAGAGTTGAAGGGTTTTCTTAATAAGTTGCATGATGAAACAAAAGTTTCTTCACAAACAGTCATATCAGAAGCCCAACACGTTTTCTCTGTTTTGCAGGGCGGCAGTGTTGCAGACCCCTGTTCAGGTCTCACTGCACCTTCTGCACTCACAGACGACGGATGATCTGACGGGACAGGATGCAAAAGGTGGAAGCAGCCGGTGTTGGATTCGGTTTCACTGTGTTACTGAAGCGCACACACACTTTCATATGCTTGCTACTGGGTTTTTAATACTATCTACTTCCCTCTTTCTTTCAAAGGACACAGATACACCCTGACTGGCCCCCTGTGCTGCTCTGCATTGTGGTTGGGAAGTACCTAATGTTACAACTGTCATGCTGGTCTGCTTAAAGGGACAGTGCCGATTTATTTCATTATGACACCTTGACAAGGGGACATACAGTCAGATGTTTAATGTAATAGCATGGAGCCATTTGTCTGTGCAGAGTTTAGGAGTCAAAATTGTTTTTGCTATTAACAATTAAAGCTTTAAAACATGCCAAATTGCATGATAGACATTTGTTTAATAGAAACATAAACTGAATAGAATTAAAAGGTGTCATCATTTCATGCTCTTGAAAAAAAGAAAGTTTACTCAAATTCCCACCGCTTGACAAAACTAAATTTGTTGGGCGCAGGAATACATTATGAATGCGTGATGTAGAGTAAATGTAGCTTAACCACAGAGATGGAAGTACCCTTGTATATTTTATGACACTTGACAGAATTGAATGTTTTGAAAAAGCTGCACACTGAATAAAAGTTTCATTCAGGCAGATGTTTATCAGGCATGTTTTACTTGAAGTGGGTAAAGCCAGTCCTGGCTGTTCTGCTTCACTGCCTCCTGTTTACCACTGCAGAGGGTGAAAGTGAAGCTACTCTCCTCACACTGTTTACAAGAGTCATTTACACACACACACACACACACACACACACACACACACACACACACACACACACACAATACACTATATCTGCACTTATTACAAAATCCTAACCACAACATAGATATACTGCTTAATGAATTAGGTGTTGTTCTGCAGGTTTGGGCCAGTTATTACATATAGTACTTGGACCAAAAAAGGCTTAATACATATTAAAGATAAATACTACTCAAACCTTATTTTTTATAATTTGACTATTTCTATTGACAATAAAAACGTATTGCTCAGCAGACTCATTGCTGAAATCTGGGAAAACGGCAACACAGACAGGTTTTAAACAAACTCAGGTTTGCTGTGCTGAATCTTCAACCTTGACTTAAAGTTTCAACGTAACAACAACAACAACACAAAATACCAATTCTGACCGATCGTGTTCTAAAACCACAAATTCACACCAAACTGTGCACCATTCCCTCTGGAGCCACTTTAAAGTAAGCATTCTCCAACAGTGTGTGGACAAAGCTTCAACAGGCACAAGGAATTAACACTTACGTCAGCTATCTGGTTTGGCTTTGAGATCCATGCAGGGAGCATCTATATTCACTTTTAAATAAAATGATAGCTAATCAGTCTAAACTGTTTCCAGACCTTGTATTACGCTAACCAGCTGCTGGCAATAGCATGCAAAACTATTCCTTTAACACACAGTGCTGTGGCATTAACTGAAGCAGGTGAAGTACATTGCTTATGGACAGAGGAATAACGATTTGACTGTGTCACTTCCACTTCAGTCTCCCTGTTTGACTACAGAGCAGGTGTCGGTTAATTAAATTGACTTCACACTACATCCTTCTCTCTTTGGTCAGCCCAGCAGAAACCTTGGATATGTTAGTCATGCTCACTGGACTGGATATCCTTCTGCTACTGTTACATTTTATCTCCCTTGTAACGTCACCCCTCCCTGCCTCTGCTTCAACTTGAAACACTCCTCCTGAGAAGCTTTGGTTTTCTCATACCACAACTGTTACAAGTGATCGCAACCACAGTCAGTCTCAGCTCAACATGTCTTATTTTCTCTTTTGCTTGCTTTCGTGTGAAGCTGGGGTTGGATTTGGGAGAGAAGGTAGGAGGTTAAATAAATAGGAACTTCATTAAACTAAACCTCTGTTAACTCCCACTCCCTTTTGCTGAGATACAGGAATGCACTCTCGTGCTTCACATCCCACACAGTGCTGCTACAGGACTTCAGGTAATGAATGAACCAGGGTTGCCCACCCAGCACCCAGGAAACAAAGAGAAAGTGCTGTGTTCACTCCCAGACTAGTAAAGGATGACTGAGTTTCCCACTACAGGACTGTTTGACACATACAAACACACTTGACATATGCCGGCATGTTTACACACAAGCACCACACTCATTCATATCTGTGCAGTGTTAGGCTATCTGGATCATACGGCCATTTCTTTTGATCAAAACAAATTACTTACATCAAGACAATGCATCAAAATGGCTAACTGAAGTTCCTTTATAATCTTTATGCAGAGCTTTTCTGTTTAGAAAAGGTCCCTGTTTGACCTTATCGCCAGTGGTCCAGGCTCGGTTCACACCCTCTGCCTTTTGAAGTGGCTGCTCTGTTTGTTCACCAGCGCCAGCAGTCTGCTGGTCAGCGGTAGCTGCATTGTTTGCATTTTACACCATGAGATGAGAACACGCGGCCTCTTTCACATCTCTCAAGCCCTGGTCCCAGCTGCAGAGTGCATAAGGTGCATCTTCTCACCTTGACTTAAAGTCAGCTAGGGCTCTATGAGGCACACAACAGTGTCGTCACCTCTAGAAACTGAAACCTGAAAAGAAAAACCCCCGTTTTCCCCCTTGTGTTATTTCAGCCTTTCACATTAAAAAGAAATAAAATCAAAACTTTGGACTCCACTGCTTGACATTTTCAGATTTCTCACTTTTCTGTTCAGCTGGAACAAGCAATATTTTATTCGCTAGATATTAATCTAAAATGTAAAGCCCCCTCCTCTTGGAAATGTCTTTCACTTAGTGTTACTTCACTCCACTGTGCAGTATGATGGATGTATAGTTACACTAGAAGCTTCTGCTAAACGGGGACTACTCGTCTGTGTTCACCTCAACACAGCGTGTAAAACGTTGATGTATGAGCACGATTTCACAACATCATGACTAGCTTAAAGCCAGTCGAGGTCCAATCATGAGCTGACACAAATGCTATATAAGAATTTGAAACCTGCAGTGCACATACCCTGACAATGGACTTTAGAGTACAGACATCTTGTGTGCAGCAGTTAAGCTTTTGGCAAAATATTCTTCAATACTGCATACTTTAAGGATGTTTAACCAATTGAACTAGTCTTATGTCTTAAAACATGTTTGGTGGAGAGCTTTAAAATTGTTTCCCAAGTTTAAACTTAGTTTACAACTGGAACCATATCTTCTTGTCTGTTTGGACAAATAATATGGTATCCTATACTATATATAAACTTTAATCTATGTAAAATAACATTAACATAGATTAGCTAATATGTAAAAAGTAAGAGCAAAGAGAGTTATATGACTTCCATCTTTGTGCCATCATTTGACTAAAGAAGTTGTAAATGGGCTAAAAATCTTCTTCACTGCAGAGCCCACCGAGTAGCTGCTAACATCTTCATGTGTTGTTAAACAACCGGCAGGGTGTCTCACCATTTGGTTTGAATTTACTGAACCTTGAGAAGAACAGATGCTTTCTGACTCAAATGTGGCCATCAATGCAAAAGTGAAATGTAAAACAATGATTACATGAGAAGCCCAAACTACCTGAAGCCATGACTCACTAACTGCTCATGCATATTCCCCGTTCTAAAATGATTCAGCACATGGTAAAAAGAAACGCAGTCACAATCACAGGATTTACACAAAGACAAAGTCGTTTTAGAGTCTGGAAAGTTAGAAAAGTGAAAGTATACTTGTTAACCGGAAAAGTTCTCAGACTTTATGAATCATTACTAAGAGGAACTACTGAAGATATGGAGTTACATGTATTCTAGACTGCAAGGCAACGCGTTAATTGAAGAACAAATAATTCACTTGTTCGCTTTATCACGAGTAGCGGAATCATGAATAGAGTAAAGAGAAATACATGTGCTGTGGTGAACCAATGCTGTGTTCACTGACAGTGAAGACAAACCATCTGAAACTGAAGAGGGGAAGCTGTCGAAGTATCATGTTAAGTTCCTCTTGTCATGACAGCTCCACCGGCACCGTAAATGGAAGGAGCTTCATTCACAAATTTGCCCCCTGTGAACCCATGACAGCACCTGGTGGCACCCCTGACACTGACACCGGCAGATCGCTTACAGCTCGTAAAAATGCCAACATGCTTGGACACAGAGAACTTTCCCTTGCAGAGCTACCACAGAAGTGCAAGAACATTTAATGCACAGGCAAAGTGAATCATTGATTTTTATAGTTAAACTGCATTCAAAAATGCTAGATTGCTGCAATATCGTACTTACTGTAAATAGGGTGAAACCAAATAAACCCCACTGTGCACCAGTATTTCCCATTACATATGGCTCCATAGATTAGATTTCAGATGATAAATAGTCTAAACTGACTTATGTAATGGTATTAAAGTAGTTTGCCGTGACTCTGTGGCACTAAAAGTCAGTGAGTATGTAGTGGGACAAAAATAGAAAGGCACTGGCTGTCATTTAATCCTTCTATAGAAAAGATGTGGTCAACTACACTAATGTGCACATATGTGTGTGTGCATGTTCACATACACCTTTACATTTCTATGAGACTGCATCTTATCTCCCCATCCAGCCACCCTCACAACAGAGGATCTCATTTATCTTTTCTTTCATTTTGCACAGATCTTAGAGGTACAATACTTCCCATAATTCCCTGAAGCAGCAAGTAAGTAGATTAAAAAGTGTCCAGACATGCTGCAGGTGAGCGGTTAACCCTGCATTCCCAGGCTCAGTGTGAAAAAAACAGCCAGACAGCTGTGGGAGGTCTCTGAGTGCCTGTAACTTGGCAGGAGTGTGTTTAAAAGAATGCCCTCTCCTGAGTCAGACATCAGCACAGGCTGCCACTTGCTCCTGTCCAACTGATCTGCCCGCCCTCACAAGGGAAAGTACTTTCCAGGAATCGTGCTCCATCATTCTCTGTGCCCAGTCAAGCACTTTTACTTCATTTAAACCCATCACTTTGTTTGGGTTAAAAGGGGTTTCTTAAAATAACATTCTGTACTATAAGGCGCAGCAAAAAGCTATAAAGTTCTGACCTAAATTTAAACAGCAGCCTCTAATCAAAGGCATGGCTCCAAGTCACAAATAGTGCCAATACAACTGAAAGCGATCTTAAAGCCGCTACCACACACTACACTGCTGAACAAGCCACAGTATAAAGAGCTGTCACAGACTGTATAGACTTAAAATGCACTATATTAAAAGACTATTGGTGAGGCCGTGTCATTTCTTGTCTTGATATATAAACTCTGTCATGGACACAACTGCTGAGCTTTTCACTTGGGCTGTATTTTATTATGGAAGTTTGTAGACAGGAGAGTTCAACAGTTGATAAGATCTTGGAAAAAAAACTGTGTTCTTTAAAACCTTTGACTACTAGCACTACTATGGGTGGATGTTGAATTGCACATGCTGTGCAGACATCGTCAGCCTAAGTCATGCACCTGAGCATTCTGCTGGTTTTTATTAGCTGCCATTTCACTGACTGGTGAATTTCTCTCTAGGTGAATCCCAATTCCCCTAATTGCATCCACATTTCCCTCACTTGCATATTTTCTTTGCATCATAGCCTCGCCCATGTAAGATGCGAGGACAAACTGCAAGGAGAGAGGAACTGAGGAAACGTTTAAAGCAACATGAAAAGTCCTTTCCTCTGATCATTAATGCGAAGCGTCCAATCACAATCTGATTTCGGATAAAGGGGAGTGTAAATCTGTAACAAGACTTACATGAAGGATGCACTCACGTGTCCTTGGTTATAGCTCCTCCAGGAAGCCTCCTCACTCCTTGCTCCTCAAAACAGAAATAAGTGCTTTGGGACGTCCTTCATCATGACAGACTGGAATGATTTCCAGGTTGAGCAAGGATCAAAGTACAAAGAGCGATAAATAAAGGAAGTTCTCAACTTCTTATGTGATTGTTGGTCAGTCCTTGATCCTCTGAAGTCATTTTGGTCAAGGGAGCATCAAGAACATCCCAAGAGCCATGAGCAAGGATACAAGAGACATCCTCCACATAAGTGTTTTATGACCAACACTCCATTTTCAGGAATCAGTCAGTGACTGAATTCTTCAGATGAAGGATCAGAGGTAAGGACGCCACATGTCGGTATAAATGTGTTTACTTGATTCCTCTATCCTTGACTTTTTTCCTCACATCTTACTAAGACACTGGACTAAGACACAAGGAAATGCAAGTGAGGGAACTATGGAGGGGCATAGGAGAATTGAGAGGTACCCCTAGTCACCTCCTAATGAGCACAGGTCAAAGCTCAACAAATGTGAACTTTTGGCTCACCACGACATTCATGCAGTCGTTACAACACAACACACACAACAGTGACAAGGCACACGCAAACTGCTTTCCATAGTAATGTAAATACACATATAGCACGAGCTGTTTTTGTGACTGTCAGACTGTACTGTATATAGAACACTGCTTGGTCCTAATGCTGTTAAAGTTGTTGTATTATGTGTTTGTACTGTTACTGTATACTGAAATCAATAAATTAGCACTGATGAATGACTTCTGTATTTTTCAGTGACTCTGAAGATGCATTTGTATGTTTGTTTATCTGAAGACTGGTTGCATTTTGACAAGACTGTCTGCACTAAATTCATTTTACACCTTAAGACAGGCTAAAGAAAGTCACACAATAGCTGTCACATAAAACTAAAAGTATTTTTGGACTCCAGAGAAAACACTAAGATGCCGTTGATGTCTGTGGAAAATGTACAGGCATATAGGTATTGAAAAATTCAGTTTAGCTTAATCTCTTTGGTTCAGCATCTTCACTCTGAGTCATGGTTAGGGGAAGTTGGTGATGTCTTTATGCATATGTACTGGCTGTGAAAACTAGTGTTGCTTTTATAAGGTGCTATTTAGAAATCCTGCTGTCTGCACTGGGGCCTCCCCTGGTCACGCTGCCTCTCGGTTATGCTAACAAAAGTATAACCACTCCAGTCACACCATTAACCTCTATAAAGCATTGTACTGTAAAGCAAAAAAGATTGCATCTCACTCATGAGATGCAATTGTGTACATACCAGAAATGTACATTCAAATGTCACCTGGTATACCCTGAAAAACCACTAGAGGCAGGGCTTCTTATCTTTTAACAGTAATTAACATCAGAGGCAGTAGCAGCTGATTCAGGATCATTCTTGCACTGAAGGTGATTCACTCATCCTCTGCTCTTTCCATAGTCACAGCAGGGAGCCGACCTGTGAATCACCTTCGCGTTTACACAGATGCTGACATTTAGATCGGGCTATGAGAAGGGCAAAGACAGAGTGATCAGGTCGTAGGCAGTGGATCATTTTGTTCGCCTGAAATTCTCCGTGTTTATTGAAGAGTGTATTGTTAAGGGGCTAACATAACAACCCAGGAGAGGATGAGACATCTCGCTGCTCTGTTTACCTGCTGGGTTTGTGTTAGTGGTGTCACTGTTGCTCTTTGTCCTCCTCCTGGGTCTCTCCTTGGGAATGGGCCAGCCAGTGACAGCATCTGCATGTTGATTAAGGCAGCGGACATCACTCAGAGCTTCCATCTGATGCCAGTTTTACAGTTGATGGAATCTGAAAACTAGAAAACAACAAGCCCCCATTTATATTCTATGCATTTAAAATCAGAAAAAAAGCAGCTTTTGGAGCTTAAACACACTCACTACCACTTATCTTTACTGCTAAATTTTATTTTACAGACCCAAGGTTTGACATTTAAATTGCACAAGACTACAGGATATTGCATCACAAACTTTTCAGGAGGAAGTCAGCGTGCATATTCTCAATTTAATGTGGTAAACCACTTTACTTGCTGACTTTAAATACCTGTGTGTTGAATGGGGGCCTTGTTAAACATGTGTTTGATATTGCCACAGTATTGTCACATGTTTCTCACCCCAGTGACACTTCTAGGAATGGAAGCTGTCACAGCTTCACAGAACACGCAGCATGTTCTTTGACATGTGGAGCTAAAATAAAACAGCAGTTTCCTTTTAGCTTGAAAAGCATGATGCCTTTTTTAGTTTCACTATAGCTTTATGTTATTTATGTCGGCTAATTATCACATTAATAACGTGAGCCAGACGAAGTGGTGGAAGGTAAGTACATTTACTCAAGTACACTTCTGAGGCATCTGTACTTTACTTGAGTATTTTCATTTTGTGCTACTTTTGCTACATTTTGTGTATCAATAATTATAATCCAATAGCATAATCTACATTGTTAAACATGTCATCCTGCATAATGAATACTTGTATGTTTTGATGCTAATACTTTTGTAATTTTACTTAACATTTTGAAATTTTACTTAACTAACATTTTGAATGTAGGACCTTTACTTGTATTTTTATACTGTAGTATCGCTTCTTAGAGCGTAGATACCCAAACCAAGCCCGACAGGACCTGAGGGTTCAGACACATAGGTCAAACATTACGTTAGACAGCTGGTGCACTAAAATGTCAACTTTGTTTAAGAACAAGGGGGAAAACATTGTACAAACTCAACTGCGTCGGGCTCAGGTCAGGTTCGGACAGAAATATGTGACCCAATCCTTGCTCTAATACTTTTTCCCACAGCTGACCAGAGGTCAGTATATAAGCTTCACTTAAATGAATTCAGAAAGGTGCATTAAACATGCATCTACAAAACACACAGACCAATTTTTTAAGAATATTTTAGAGATATTTGCGAGGACATTTTGTGAATTCCCATGTGGCTGCAGTGCTTCACAGGGGGTTGCAGTAGTACACATCTCCCACCCCCCCCAGACCATAACCCCCAAAGCCGTCTTCACTAGCTAGTGCAGCCTCGAGCTGCAGGACATTTCACGAGAGATCAAATACGTCAATAAGCACTTTTGCCTGCAAATGCATTATTATTATCGGTTAAGTGACTATATCCTGCTTATAGACACTAATAAGGGGTCTTTAGGGAAAGTGTTACCTGTAAGGTTTAAATAAAATAAAAAAAGCAACTAATATCTCTGTGTTATGTTTGAAAGCCTAAATCTGGGGCATGAGGACATGTGGGGTTTCCGGGTCACACATGCAGATTTGTCACATATTCTTCACTCCTCGTCTGAGTAGGCTGCTCTGATTCAGATGGCACAAAATCTACTGACAGGCAACGTTGGTAACAAATGAGCACTGTGAACATGATATCAGCTGACTTCTCGATTTAATAATACAGTATGTGCAGCAACATTCATTCATCCATTTAATTTAATAAGAAATGCTCATTATGGACCTATGGAGTTCCCAATGTTGCGGAGGCAAATTCTCTCTCCAGCCTCTGTGTTGATTAGTGGAGTTAGAGCTAGAAAAAGGTACAAACCCTCTCTCTCACACATAGAAACCACAATCGGATCAAAGCTTGTAATTTTCCGCACAGTGGGGTTTTAGACATCACTAGAGTGCCTGTTCTTCGGGATGAGTATAGTTCTGGAGAAGAAGCATAGAATCTCCGGCATCCACAAATGACAGCTCTAGCCAAAGAAAGACAAGAGTTCACCAAGTGCAACTCCATGGTGTCTAAAATAAATTCACTGTTTCTCCTCCTGCTATCAAATTACTGGATGCAGCAGCAGGAAAAGCTCAATAAGAGGGAACATTTGATGATTCAACAGTCAGTAGGACACAGTGGACACTCTGAGGGAATAACGCCTGTGAAGAAGCTTTTATTGTTCCAACTGTATAAATAAATTATCGTCTTTGTGTGCAGTCACAGCCATGAGACGAAGGCTCTTTTTCATATTTGACCACATTCATAAATAGGCTAATTAGGACGGCTGTGGGTGTGAGGATCATGTGCTGCAGTGTGACACGCGGTGAATAGCCGGCTGTGTTAGCTCACAGAAGAGGAAGCTCAGGGATGCCCGGAGCATGAAGTGTCTCTGTGTCTCTGCCGTGCACGCAAGTATGCATCTCCTTACTAACTTTAGACTGAAATAACTCCATAGCTCAGGGTTTTGGGCTCGAGGCCACCTCAGCTGAGCCCTGACCCACAGTCTGCAAACTTGACCCACCAACGTCATTCATACAACTCTCTTCTGTGAGTACAAGCTTCTGCTCCACAGCCTGTGTATGAGGTAACTGTTAATATTTCACACTGGAAAGTTTATCGTATTAGTTCACAGCTGACAACACAGCAAAATCAAAACAACTATGGAGAGACTTGGAACAAATAACTGATGTCAAATGACCACAAGCAGATGCAAAACAACTGCAAAGAGACAATGTCTGACGAGAGATATTTAACACATCAAAACAGAGATGACGAACTCTTATACCACACCAGGCATGAGGACACGGTCAGTGATCGCTTATCTGTATGACAGTTTCATAGGCCTATCTTCAGACCCTGACACACTGCAGTCTGTGCAACAACACAGTGTGACGTCAAAGGTACAAGGAGCCCTATGAGTTATTATATTAAAAAAAAAAAAAGTTTGTTCACATATACATTTCAGCAATTCTACCACAACGTTTATCAGTTCTGATCAGTGGAGAAACCAGTGAGTAGAGGGGTTAATTTCCATATTGATTTATGTATGAAAATGTAAAAATTATTTAGTCAAAACCACTGATAAATTAAGCTTTTAGTGCAAATTTAGGGAGAAACACCATTATTTCACTGGAATTTGTTCACAGACTTTCCTATCCAGTGGTCATGTTAAAGAATATTTATATATTTAATATTTAAACAATAGATGGATCAGTGGGCCTTCTAAGCAAAGGCCCAGGGGTACAAGGAGTCAGATAAGCTGTACTGTATGTACAACAGGTATAGCATATTAAGACAGTATTCTCTCCCGTGTGTTTACATCCAAGATGTGCTTTTTTTCTCCGATCAATCAACTGGTCCCAGCTTCTCTTTCTTTAATGTTCACCTGAAATTAGGTGAACTTCATTTAAACTACTTGAATCAAGTCTCAAGTTTTGTTCATTAACCGATCAGATCTGAATGACAGCCATCAGCAGGTCAGTGTTTGACTTTGCAGCTCTTGTAAAATACACGTTTAGTTTGTGCAAAATGGGTAAAGTTTACTTAATTAAAGAAAACTGCTGCCTAGAAAGTTCAAGTCATTTTGTCATGTTTTGTCTTTTTTTTTTTTTTGCTTTAAAGAAAAACATTTATTTGCAAACGATAGTGCTTATTTCTGTGTTTATGATTGTGCCCAACAGCAGCAGCAGCAGCACAAGGTGTGTATGAGCACCTAACTGTTTCCCAGTACACGTTCTCCAGCTTATGCGAGTCACATAGGCCATTTGTCCCTTGTCTCATACAGTCCATAGGAGCATCTCTTGGCATACTGCAGCTACGTTGACAAGAATTGCAAGAACTCTGACAACAATAACAACAACAACAACAACAGCATACAGTATGTCTCAACCACAAGCTTAACAAACTTTTGTTTGCATGGAAACAATCACAAACATGACGGCAAGCGTAACTAAAATCGGTCATCATGGAAACTGCCATAAACACACTGTCTAACATGCGCATTGCATTGCGCGTTGTGTTTTAGAGGAGTGGCTTTGGAGAGAAGTCAGAACAAAAGGGTGGGATTTCTTTGACTGTCTACTTTCAAAACTGAGCTTCCTCATGCTGATTTTTCCAGGATA